CAACGCACCAACGCTACTTCGGAAAAATAGAACGCCCGGCTGCAGAAAAACCAACAATTAACGCGCGTCCTGCTCTATCAAGCGGCGCATCATTAGCGTCATTAGCCTCCATATCCTCGCTCAACTTACATGGTAACAATAATACGAAATACAAATAAAAATGCATCCCATCGATGAAAATATTAGCAACGAAATTATTATTAATAACACTGACGAATTAAATGAGCACATAATAACAGAAAAGGAAATTATTATCTGTGTCAATATCAGAAGTTTGAATGCCAATTACACCAAACTTCTAACATTTATAAACAACCTACAAAAAAAACCAAGTGTTATAATATATACTGAAACATGGAATTTACAACATTTCCTAGTCTTCAATATTGAAGGATACAATATGTACTATAACAACAGTAGTATTAATAAGGCTGATGGCGTGGTGACCTATATCAGAGACGACATAATTGAATCAACAGAAATAATTCAAATACAAAATTTAAAAATTTTGCAAACTACAATACAGTTAGAAAATGAAAAAACTATACTGTTAGCAGCTATATACAGATCACATGACCTACACAAACTACAATTCATACAATCGATCAAAACATACATAACTCAACACATAAAGAAAAAAAATTCAATACTAATAGGTGATTTCAACTGCGACATTTTAAGCCAAGATCCTTGGGATCAAGAATTCTTGCAAATGTTAATGGAAAAAGGACACCATCCAGGATTTAATACGATTACCAGACCTTCGCTGGACAACAACAACAGTGGAACATGCATAGATAATTTCTTTATAAAAATGGAAAATAACATATACAAAACTTTCAACGTCAACACCCCGTTCAATGACCATTATCCACTAATAATGGCGTTGCAGAACCAAACAAAAAGCATAAATCACTCATATAATAAAAAACAAATTAATTACCGAAAACTTCAACATATAGCTCAAACTATAAACTGGAATGAAAATAGTGAAACTAATGATACAAATCAATCTATCAATAACTTAATCATGAAAATACAATATTGCCTTAAACAGGCAGAAAAGAAAAATGTCACTAACAAAACTATTAATAGCTTGAAGCCAAGAAAAAAATGGATCACCAAAGGCATAATAAACTCATGTAAAACTAAAGAAAACCTATATCTTGAATGGAAATATAATCCTCACGATACAACAAAAAAAAATAACTATTAAAATTTTATCAAAATTTTAGATAAGATAATTACAATAGCAAAAGAAAATTACGATAAAAAAATCATGGAAATGGTGCAACATGATCCTAAGAAATTATGGTCAGTTGTCAACAACAAACTAGGGAGAAATACTCAGAATAACAAAATTATTGATTACATCACGGACAAAAATAATATAATCACCAATCCAGAAGAAATTGCAAATAAAATGAACACATTTTTTTGTGAAATCGGAACGGAACTTAGCAATAATATAATACAACCGCAAAATGCAACGCTCAACCTCCCAAAAATAAACCCGAAAACAATATTTTTAAATTTTACAAATGAACAAGAAGTAAAAAAAATAATTAGCAGACTAAAAAACAAAAAAGGAGGAGTTGATGGAATTAATTCATTATTATTAAAATCATTAATCCACTACGTATCTGAACCACTTGCACTTGCTATAAATAAGTGCATTATTAATGAAACTTGGCCTGATGCTTTAAAAGAAGCGGATATTATACCAATCCACAAATCAAAAGAAAAACATTTAGCAAATAACTACAGACCTATTTCTCTAATCTCCAACATAACTAAAATCTTTGAAAAAATAATACATAGAAGAATTCAATCTTTCATTGACAACTGTAATTTGCTTTCCACAAATCAATTTGGCTTTCGAAAAAACAGAAGCACAAAACATGCACTAAATTATATTTCAAACAACATTTATGAACAATTAGATGCAAGTAAACCTATAACAATAACTTTTCTGGATCTTGCCAAAGCCTTCGACACAGTTGACCACAAGATACTGTTACAAAAATTGTACAACTATGGTATTAGGGGTAGTGCCTATAACCTCATCAAAAGCTACCTAACAAATAGAAAACAATGTGTGAAGGTAAATAATGCAAGTAGCGATAAACAAATAGTAAAAATAGGTGTTCCTCAAGGAACTATACTGGGTCCGCTACTTTTCCTACTATACATAAATGATCTACTAACGATTCTACCAGAAAAATCCATACTACATTTTGCAGACGATACAGCAATCATAGCAAAAGGTAAGAATTGGAAAGAAGCTGAAACTAATATGAACAGTTATCTAAAAATAGTGGGAATTTGGCTTGCTCTTAATAAACTATCTTTGAATATAGACAAGACAACGTACATGGAATTTGGAAATTATCATGACAGTACGCCAAAAAACCTGCAAATTGAAATCTTAGGACATCCAATACACCGAGTTGAAAACACAAAATATCTTGGAGTTACTTTTGACAGTAATATGAAATGGGATTTACATCTACAAATCCTTTACCAAAAAACAAAATATCTAACATTTGTCCTATATAAGCTTTCAAAAATAATGAATACTAGTACATTAAAAATGATCTACTACGCACTCTTTCACAGCATAATGACCTATGGAATTATAGCATGGGGAGGAGCGTACACAGGTCGAATTAAAGTAATACAAAACTTACAAAACAGACTACTAAAAATAATCTATAAAAACCAGTTCGTGACACATGAATATCCACTTAACTTAGATCAATGCTTTTCATTGGAATCTCTACTATTCCACTACGATACTTTTAAGGACAAATATATTGGAAAAGAAAGAAAAACAAGATTCGCCTCAATCCAACACCCAAAAAAAACACTAACTATCAGCATAAAAAACAGTTATGTAAGAGCAATTATGTTATACAATAAACTACCTAATGACTTGAAAACAATTAGCAGCACGACAACTAGGAAAAACAAACTTAAAAAATGGATCAAAGGAAACCCAATATGGCAAATAGATTAAACTGCAAAAATATAAAACAATTAATTGATCTCTATGGTACTCTGTATTCGACATCGGAAGTCCATGAGGATGCAGTAGACCACAACAAATTAATACTAGATATTAGAACATTTATTTGTGCAAATAACAATTGCAATTTATCTCATAAAAGATCACACAAAAGAATCACTCAGTATAACTATGAAAAAATGCTGAAAGGATCAACACAAGACATCAACAGGATCACAAAGCTAGCTAACAGCCTCTTGAATAATATGAAAACAACGACAGCTACACAAATTAACAGAATAAAATTTACCAAGTCCACACTCGAAGAACATAACATAAACAGTAATAACAAAATGTCCATAGAAACAGTTTTCGATGCCATTGATGAGATGGCTAATGAAAATAACTATAGAGCACTGTCAAGAAAACCGATGCCAGCCCCTGGAAAACTGATAGAACAACCAAATTGTATCAGAATGACCTATGGAGACATAAACTATCTAGGCAACAATAAAGCCCTGTTAAACTTTGACAGAGGTGTTCAAGGAACACAAATTTTTAGGAATTCAGCATCACCTCTAGAATATCAACCACAACACCTAGACATTGTAGTTGTCGATGACATAGTGTTCACCTCAACTTGCAAATGTGTCTCGAGCAGACAACACAAAGAAATTTTTCCACACTATAGAGAAACTTGCGCAGTAGGACTAACATGTCCAGCAAGATTAACAAGCATAGAATGTGTCATCTACAGAAGAACCAAGAATGCAACTACAGGATATTTCACTACAGCCAGACAGATGCTAAATAGAACATGGGATTAGAACAACAAATCAAGAATATCTTCATACAAATTATTAATTAGTTTTAAGTATTAGTATTAATTTATTAAACATGCCAGACCAGCGTACAGGAAGAAATTCCTCTGCTGGATTACATGTAATGTAATGTATTTGTATATTATTAATTATTATTAATGTATATTTACTCTGGACATAAATAAATAAATAAATAAATAAATAAATAAATAATTTTTACTGGCTCTTTTACTTATTCTTCGTGTGTATCGGATATTGGAAAACTTTTTCTGATTACCTTTCTTTTGTGATCTGTACAATTTTCAGATAAAACTAACCAACAGTAATCGGCTAACATATTCGCACTTTTTGTAGATTTTTACCTCTTTTCTAATTCTGCTATTTCTTGATGAAATCTTTCCCCGTGTTCATCACTCACTGCTCCAAGATTTTATAAATAAAACAGTAATTTATAAATAAAACAGGCTTTCGGTTCTTATTATTGTAGTGTTCCAAATGAACTAAACATTTATATGAAGAATAAGCCACTAAGTAGGGTATATTCTAACAAATATCTTGGAGTAATTATGGATTAAAGGCTCAAATGTACTATTTTAGGGCAATGCGACTTACGGCTTACATATCTTAGTTGGGGCTTATAATAATGTTATAAATAATATCCAAAAGTACAAAATAAATTTCTTAAAAACCTACGCAGAAAATTAAAAACTAACAATCCTACATTTTATTAGAGAATTTTTCCTATTGGAAGCTGTTAAAGTGAATTGTTGCATCTTAACTGCTGAATTTAATCTCCAGAAAGACTACCAAAAATAACATAGTCATGCAGAATTTGAATAATACGCTGTGTAGTTTCCAACATCAACATATAGCTACTAAAATTTACAAAAAATTTCATAGAGAAAGGAGAAACGAGAAAGTTTTTCTTTGTTATATTTTTGTTATTTTAGTTAATTTGCGTACAAACAACACGTTCAGTTCTGCAAAAAATTATGATGCATACCATTTTTCATTGTATTTCATTTTTTATAATAAATTTATATATAACAAAAATTATATTACATATAAGGCATTTTTATATATAATTTACACTAGCAACATTCATGATTCTGAATAATTTTATGATATTCTATACATATATTTGGTAAGATAATATTTATACTCTATTACAGACACAGAAGCAAGGCAAGCAAAGATCTCGAGTACCACCTCCTTCTAAAATTCCTTCATCTGCAGTAGAAATGCCGGATGATGCTTTAAATGCAAGCATCAATTATTTAGATGTACAATTTGGAGCTTTAGAATTTGGAAGTGATGCTAACATTAATGATAGTTCGAATCAAGATAAATATGTATCTTCTGAATGCAATGCAAATTCGTCCCATACAGAATGTACAACAATAACGTCGAAAAATGTTGTTAACCCAAATAACCAACTCGAGCCTGCACAAATTTCTAGTCAAAAACTGAATTCTACGGTAGAAATGGTAAGTATAACTTATAAATACTCATCAATATTTTTTAGATTTTCAATATTGTTGAAAAATGAGACATAACTAAATAAAAGAGATGAATTCAAAGAAAATGTATCACAAGTTGCGGAAATATGAGTAAGAATTTAATTTTTTCACGCTTGATTCTACTTCAATATATCTATATTAAGTTAAAGGATTATTAAAAAATTCAAATCCTAAAAGTCTTTTTAAGCATTTATTATTCAATTATTGCCAAAATTTTGATAATATACACCATAAACTATTTTATTATGTAAAAAATTCATATGATTCTGTTGTAAACTTTCCTCTATTTAGTGATATATCTTTGTAATGTGATTGCTCTATGACAAACGATTGATATTATGAAATTCTGCATTTCAAATTTCAATTTTTTATAAACTTTTAACTTCACGTGCTTGATTTGGTGTTGTAGCTTATTCAAAACTTGTATAAATTTGCGAAAGGATAGCGTTGTAAAGGCAACCCATCGTAAAAAAAGGCCACTCCTATACGCATAAATTTGTTTGTCGTTCCGGCAGATGGACTAATTCTTGTCCCAGCTTTCTTTAGCAACGCAAGTGAAATAAACTCTGTTTTTACCCAAGATAATTTTCTTTTATTCAGTGGTTAACCTTGCTATATTTCTTTTCTTTATGATCGTCTGAGAGTTCTATTCATAGGATCTTCTCTCTTATATGAAATAAGCAGCCTTAGATAATCTTCTCTTATAATATTTTTACAAGTCTAGAAATTTCTCTGAGTTTTTGTCGCGGCGCTATCTGGTGACAATTATAATAGTGTTTTTTTCAAAAGTTTATGAACTTACTACTTACATGTGTTTTTTTAAACAATTTTACATCAATTAATATTTTGAAAAGGATGATAAATTAAATCCTCGAAAGGCTGGCCAAAATATTATGAAATATAATATTATACTCAAAAGGATCCAAATGATGTGTAATAATTTATTATCAATAAATCTTATCCTTGTGCAAAATGCAAATGTTATATCTTTAAAATTTTTGGATACTTGATCAAGTCGATGATTATGAGGGCTCTATCTGGTAGATTTATTTCAAAGGTTTCTTTAAACCTGTCCATAACTTATTTTCTAAGATTTCAAATAAAAGCCTTTTCTTACAAGGGAACCACCCCAACCGACCTTACTGATTTAAATGATTTTGGGATATGTTGTAGTACTTGAAAAAAATTAGATAATTGTCTTTTTTATCTGCCCATAAGGGCTTTTAAGGGGTGAAATCCACCCTGAAAATCAGCCCCTAAAATCAGTTTTTTTAATATTTCTCAGTATCCAATGAATATTTTTCTGTAAACTCAACGTTAAAAAATTTCTTATAAAAAAGCGCTTTTAAGAACATAACATTTATACCGAAGGGTTGCAACCCCCTTTTTAATAGGGGTAAATACGCTATTTTTTGTACTGTTTTACGACATGTAATATAGTAAATTAGCTCGAGTGATTTAAAAATCGCACTGATAATGAGAAAATACCAAAATTAAATTGACATGTTACCGGATTTAAAAAAAAAAATGTTTAAGAGGTGTTTCACCTCCTAGAAACCACCCCCGTCAAACTATCAGCAGGTTAATCCACCTTACCTTGGGATAAACAAGTTTAGTCGTTTGTTATTTCTTGAAATAATTTAATCCTATGCATGAGCGAGCTACCTCAACTAACCGACCTGCCTCTAACCCACCAAACCCCCATAAACCACCCTTACCGAACCACATGCAGGCTAACCCACCTAATCCTGGGAAAAGCAACTTTAGTCGTTTGTTATTTCTTGAAATAATTGAATTTTACACCATAAGCGAGTTATCCCAGCTGAATCACATACCTCTTATCCACCTACCCCTAACCTATCTAACCCCGACCCTTATAAACCACCTTACCGAACCAAATGCGGACTAACCTCACATAAATAGCGAAAAATAAATGTATTTCTTGAATAACATTCATGTTGCATAACAATATGTCCCAAGTATTACAAATTTTATGTAATAATTATTTTCTTTTCATTATAAATACAAAAAAGATAAAAAAAATTAATAACAGCTTATAAATATAAGATTTCCGACTAAAATAAATTATAAATAATTATTAACTATTTTTTTATTTTGAAATTAATAATAACAGTTATAGTATCAGTTTTTTTTTAATTATTTGCATTGTAATACATATAGCTGTGTATAAAAGTGTAATAATAATAGTTATTATTTTTTAAACGTAAAGTTAATTCGTAATAAAGAAAAATAACAAGTAATAACAGTTAAAAATTATTAATTACAAAAGTGGAATTTTAATATAGTTATTATTACTTTTTTAATCATTTACAATTGTTCAATGAGAAAAGAAATGATAACAAATAATTGATTATATTAATACTTATAAATAGTTATTATAGTCTCAATTCCTATACTTATAAACTGTTTACTTTTTTCAATTTTCACTTGTTGTTTAGTTTAATTTTTGTTGGTACTTTACTTTGCTGTACACTTTATCTTATTTACAATTTTGTCTTATCAATGGCTCGAAGAAGATAAGTTATATCAAATCTACGCCCCTTATGATAATAAGACATCCGATACATATTTCATTATTCATAGTAGTTGAAGAAAAGTCAAGTATTTAAAAAGTTTTTTTATAGTGCTGGATTTATAAATAAACTTATTTCTATATTTACATACAAATTTCCCGAACACGAAAATATAGTACATAACAAGAAGAAAAGTTTTTGTCTACTACGTAAGTAATTATGTCACTTATCATATATAATTTTATTCAAATATTTTGATTTGTAAACATGTGAAATATAACTGTTAAAAACGTATGATCGAATTCTATCTATAGACTAAGTTTTCTTTTGTTTTTTTTAAAATTATTCAACTGCAAAAAAGAGTATTTATATCTTGATTTTGTTTTAGATTAAAACATGAAGAGCAATCCTTTGAACGTAGTCAATTTATTATTAGCATATTTCCAAAGTTTACAAATACCAGATAGCGAGATTAATTTCAAAGAAATTAAATTGTCAGAAAAGTTGAAAGAAATATTAATAGATGCCGTGTATGAGTTTAATGATATTTATATGATTGTTGAAGAGACGTTAGATTTTCATGAAGATTATAAAGATACTGATGCTAAAATAATCGAAGATGAAGTTCAACATCACTTTCCTTATCCTGATTTTGCACCAACAAATCAGTGCACAAATGATGATGAAGAAATCACATTTGATTATAAACAAAGAGCCGTAAATTTTGAAGGAGCGGAAAAAACTAAAACTTAAAACTAGATACTAGACAATATAGATTCAAAAAAGTTTCATCTATAAGTCAACTTAAACGTTGGGCGAAAAAAATTAATAAAAATGGAACTTACCGAGAAAAAATTGTCCAAATTTGCCAATATACGTTTGATAATTTAAAAACCGCTATTGCAGCTGGTACGATAGTGCACGATCGATATATACGGAAATGGACATTGCAAGCTCAAAAGATTGTTGGTTATGAAGATATAAGATTTATGGCTTCTCAAAATTGGTTACTAGAATTTAAAAAAGCTCATAGAATTGTATCTAGAAAAATAAATAAATTTATCACCAAAAAAACATTAGAAAGTAAAGAAGAACTACAAACTAATGCTTATGCTTTTGTAGCTGATATTAAATCATGTATACCTGAAATCGACATTGCAAACTTTTATAATTCAGATCAGAGTGGTTTCCAATTAGAAATGCACTCGGGAAGAACATTAGTAGTTGAAGGAGAAAAGTAGGTGCGATGTCTGGTACAGTCGGTTTCATCGACAACGCACAATTATGCAATTCAGCCAACTATATCAGCAATCGGGAAACTTTTATCACCACTTTTTATAGTATTAAAAGAAAAAAATGATCAATTCGGTCCCATAGTGGAATCTTCATTATTTAGACCAGAAAATGTGCATGTGAAAGCATCTAAATCTGGAAAATTAACGACATGTTAGTATATTTTTGTTTATTATAATGCAATGACATAAAAAAATTTTGACATTTTTTAAGTTTAGATCATTTTAAAATTTGGTATTTTTACGCGACTCTTGGAGTGGACATTGCGATAAAGCTGTAAGGGAAACGATGCCGACAAACAAACATGTTAATATAAAAAAAATTCTCACAGGAACGACAGGGAACATCCAACCACTCAATGTTTATGGATTTCGTATCTGGAAAAACTTCGTTCGACGTTTATCAGATCAAGTAATTTTGATAGGGAACATCCAATCACTCGATGTTTATGGATTTCGTATCTGGAAAAACTTTGTTCGACGTTTGTCAGATCAAGTAATTTTGATAGACTATGAAATGAATCTACATTTAAGAAATAACATCATAAAAATGCAGTCTCTTGTCCATAACCAGCTTTCTTCACCATGATATACAAATATTTTTAAATACGCTTGGTATAAAAGCGGCTACATTGCTGAAAAACCAGCTAAAACAGATAACCGTGTTGATTTTAGTTTTGGAGATTCTTGCAATATACATTGCGAAGTAGAAGCATGTAAAAATGCTGCTATAATACGGTGTGGTTGGTGTAAAAGATCATTATGTTTCAAACACTTTTTCAATGATTATCATTTCTGTAAGGAATTTGTTGAATGATACATTTTAATTTACCAATAAATAAAAAAAAGAAAAAGTTGAAAATTATTATGAAAAATCAAAATATATGTAGTATCGCGTACGATGGCTCTTATGTAAATATATTTATGTATCTATATACGAATATAAATATATATGTATAGATCTATAAATGATAATTAGACCTCGTGTTATTCTCGTGTTTATTTTTAAGAGATATTTCTCGACATTTTAGTACTATTAAAATAAATGTATTAAACGTATTTTTATTTGTCATAAATTATGTTTGAGCTACAGATACTAGTATATTTCATCAAAAAAAAATGGGATACCCCACGTACGGTG